CTGACTATGTCCTTCACCCCCCGGCTGGTGAAGAGGTCATGTCCATGGTAGGGTTTGTGCTGCCCCTTCTTCTTCCTCTCCTGCTGTCTCTTCTTCTTCGAGGACTGACCCCCCATCTCTCCCCTGGCACCGGTCAGGACTCGGCTGCACGAGCTGCAACAGCAACGACAACGAGGATAACAACACCGGAACGTCTCGGGAACCTCCCCAACACGAGCACGCTGAGCCAGGCAGGCTTGACCTCACCGCTCGTGAAGGGCTCTGTCTGATCTGCCGGGACCGTCACGTCTGCTCGGCTCTGTGCACTCAGCTGTAGCTCACAAACTCAATCTGTTCACATTGCCAGGGAGCGCCAAACAAGTCTAACCTGGTCGTTTCCTTTCTTTCATTTCCTGGAGTTGGGGGGCAGGGGCTGAGTGCCCTGCCTGCATATTTACATTTTTCATTGTGTATCTGAGACGCTTCCAGATGACATCAGCGTGCATTCGAACTGGAGCTGTGGATCTGTGCTTGTGGAGCAGGACAGCAGGATGCACACAGGCAAAGAGTCTGCGGAACGGGGCGACGGGAGATTGTGATCCCCAGATAACAGAGAGACCAAAAGATGAGATCTCCCAGCTCTCAGCTGTGCTCTTATGAAAGCTATGGACTAGTTAATGGAGTAATTGATCAAATTTGAAAATGCACATTGATTTATATCCCAGCTGAAGGTGAGCATTAAATCAAGTGTCAATCCAGCCAAGAGATTGTGGGACAATTTGTTATGGACAATTATCAATATGAGACACAACTACAACACAGCGCTGCCACTTCTCAATCAGCCACCGTGACACAGTGCTTAACAGACCGTTATTTACTGTTTAGTTCACAACATCAACAGAGACAGTTTTATATGTATAACGTCTAGTTTCGGGGATCCCTGTTGAAAGGGCCTGGAAATCTGGCCCCCCAGCCAGACGAGTCCTTACAAAAGAAGCTCACCATATCCTATGAGCATCTATGTATGGTCACTTGCTTTGTTAAGCACCTTGGGGCAACCTTGTTGTGAAAGACACTATATAAAAATGAACTGACTTGAACTGAATTGAACATAGGCACAGCATCAGCCTAGCATTCTGTTGAAACACCATAAAGCCAAGCATATGGTCTGTATCCACGAAGATCTACAATTTAACTGCACCAATCTGGTGACATTTTTGTTCGGTTGGGGACAGGGCATTCCTGACATGTCTCTGCGTTTCTCAGCAGTGACGTGACAATGGTTCTCAGACCTGCGAGCAGGGAAACCAGGTTGGCAGGTTTCAGCCTCGCCGTGCAAGAATTCAGCCCAGGGCTCTCAGCTAAAGTGCCTGAAGGGACTCTGTGTCTCCTGGATCTCCAGCGGCTCCGGCACTTTCCCACTGGGCGGGATGCCAGTTCAACCAGAGAGTTTCTTTCTTTGCTCTGGGCTATTAATTTTTTCAGAGGCACGTTACCGTGTGAAGACAACATTAAAATCAAATGCTGCTGCCAAGCACTTTTATAGTTCCAACACCAACATTGGAGCTCTGGCTCCGATCACTGGGGTCCACAAATGTGCAGACTTTCATTGTCTGATGTTATAAACAGCTCCTCCCCTGGGTGACGCATGGGGTTAGACCAGTTTAGGGTTAAATGGAGCCTTTGATCCCTCCACAGCCCAAAGCTGTTGATGACTGAAGAGACAGAGAAAATCTGCTGGATTCTGGACACAGAGCTCCTGATGTGGGAGCCCAAGATCAGAGCCATTTTTACTCTGTGGGCCTCACAGTGCCTACAACACAATGAGCTTCAATTGAAAATGGAGATCAGAAGGCACATCTTTACACAAAGGGTTGTGGGAGTGTGGAACAACCCACCCAGTCTGTGAACATGTCATCAGTTGTTCTGGCTTCAGGGAAATAATGGATGAAATCCTTTTTTTCAACCAGAGAATTTCATCCTGCTTCCTGTCACGTGGGGTTTAGTTTGATTAACGTTTCCTGTTTCAAACTCTTATGTTGGGGTTGGAACAATAAAAATGCTCTGAAAAAATTAATAGCCCAGCGCAAAGAAAGAAACTCTCTGGCTGAAAGGCCTCCTCTTATCTGTAACCTTTGGTGCGGCCCCATAATTCAATACATTACTAACTCAATTGAATTGATAAAGGAGACCTCAGGCTCTCCCGGTGACAACACTGAAGGTGCAGATACACCGGAAAAGCCATAGGGAGCGCTGTTGCACTGCATTTCAATAGCAAATCTTCAATTTGCCTTGGAGATGTATAGAGGAATAAATGAGTTCTTCTCAGACTCAGTATTCATAATGATTTGTTTCCACTTAGATAAGTGCAGGAACTGCTTATTCTCACCATCGTGTAAGAATCATATGGACTTATAACATATATAAGACTTTTCACTGACCCCACCTCCCCCCAAAATTAGAAGTAAAATTTAAAGTAGAAGATGAAGTTGTTAGCTTGGTCTTAAGGGATAACCTTTAAATATTTAAGAATTATTTTCACTTTGTTTAATTTCACCGTGCAAACGACCACAGTCAGAAAATCATGAATACATTGTGTTGCTTCAAGAACCTCATTTAAAATATCAAAGTAAAACCGTAATTTCCGCTCTTCACATTCTCCATTTTTAAACACTGGAAAAACAAAGTTCTAAATAATCTATGCATCGTGCCGACTCTCTGTGGTGTAATCTCGTCACTAAAATTTAACCGGCTAGAGAACGATACTGATATTTCAACAATTACTGACCCGTTGAAGTAGAAGAACTAAGACGTACGTTGCAGCTGGCTATGGCGTCTGATTGTCCGTTTAACTCCGAGAAAAAACTTTACCACGACCGCAGTCATTGCCCTGTGAATCCAACTCCATCTTCCGACAGACTTCAGTATCGCAGTTTGCAGGTTCCTTCGAATACAAGGGTCGGTTTTTACTGCCTTCCATAACTGCGTGCGTCTGAAACAAACATGTTGTGGGAAAGTCTTCAGGTTTAGGTTAGTCTTTAGGAAAGTGTTAAGGTCTTACCCTAATGTGTTATAGTTTTCAAACGCCAGACTGCTGGTGGCTTTTAAGAACGTAAAAAGAGCTCATCTAGCTCGTTTGGCGTTTGACTGTTTGACTGTTTCCTGAAAGAAGTCAGGTTTTATTGCTTCATCAGCATGGCTGGGTAGCTCGGTCTACACCCCCACTAACCTTTGGACTGTGGGAGGAAAGTTGCATAAACATGGGGAGAACATACAAACTCCACACAGACAGCGCCCCATTGAAACCAGTGCCCCAGAGCTGAAAGGCAGCAGTGCGAACCACTGCTCCACAAAGTCACCCTCTCTTGTTGGGTAAGATGCACAGCTGGACGACATTTTTCTAGTGTAAAAACACAACTAATAGTCGGGTGATTTTCTTGTTACACCTGTTTCATTTGCCACTTTGCTCCTTGCAGGTGCTGTTGAAGTTTGGAACACTAAAATGTGATCAAACAGCTACATATTGTGACATTACATGGTGATAAAAAAAACAATTGCAATTTTCATGCATAGTCAATCCAGTTTTATTTTTATTGGGTAAATCCTTACAGTAAACAGCACCAGAAGGCACTTTACAAGTCGGATTACAATAGATTACAGTAACTTTGTTTTCTGTTGTGCGTGCATTCATGAAACATAAAAGAGATAGGCACAAAATGAAGATAGTGGAGATACAGGATGTGATCCAGAGAGCCTTCCATTTCTAGTGTTTACCACACTTTTAAATACATAAGAAAGAGAACCATTCTAAGAAAATTCTTCATGTATCTCAAATCTAGTGCAGCACCAGAAATATTAAATAGATTTGGTCAAAGTTTACAGATTTTCTAAATGGTTTTGTTCTTATTTAGTGTAGGAGCATTTTGAATTCATCATGCTCTTAATTCTTTCATTTCCTTCATATACATAGGGGTGTAACACCATTGTCCTGACCAAATTTCCTATTTCCCATTGGCCCTTACCAATCACGGCCTTCTAATTATCCCCATCTATGAACTTCATTACTCTGCTCCCCTCCCCACTGAGAGCTGGTGTGTGGGGAGTGGACTGGCGCACTATGGCTGCTATCGCATCATCCAGGTGGGGCTGCACACTGGTGGGGGTGGAGGGGAGTCCCTATTATCTGTAAAAAGCTTTGAGTGGAGTGTTCAGAAAAGTGCTATATTAGTCTAAGCTATTATTATTATATATCAAACAAGAAAAGGTATAATGTCTCCAGACCTATCGATCCTCTAATTATCCTGAGAAGAATAATATTTTTTGAAATTGAAAAACACACAGCATGCCCATTATCCAGAATTATTCAGTACAATGTCTGTCAACTGCACATTTATCTGACTTTCTTTAAAACCCGCCGAAATCAAGACATCCACCAAGATCTCCACCAAACCCACCAAGGTCTCCACCGAACCCACCCATATCTCCACCGAATCCACCAACACCTCCAAGAAACCCACCCATATCTCCACCGAACCCACCCATATCTCCACCGAACCCACCAACACCTCCA